CAGTCTGTTGTTCCATGTCCAGTTCTAACTGTTGCTTCTTGACCTGCATACAGGTTTCTCAGGAAGCAGGTAAAGTCATCTGGTATTCCCATCTCTTTAATAATTTTCCACAGTTTGTTGTGATCCATACAGTCAAAGGCTTTAATCAATAAAGTAGAAGTATACACTTTCCTGGAATTCTCTTGCTTTTTTCTATGATCCAACTGATGCTGGCAGTTTGAACTCTGGTTCCTCTGCCTTTTCTAAACCCAGCTTGAACATCTGGAAGTTCTCGATTCATGTACTATTGAAGCCTGGCTTGAAGAATTTTGAGCATTACTTTGCTAGCGTGTGAGATGAGTGCAACTGTGTGGTAGTTTGAATACTCTTTGGCCTTGCCTTTCTTTGAGACTGGAATTAAAACTGACCTTTTCCAGCTCCATGGCCACTGCTGAGTTTTCCAAATTTGCTGGCATATTGAGTGTAGCACTTTCACAGCATCGTCTTTTAGGATTTGAAATAGCTCAACTGCAATTCCATCACCTCCACTAGCTTTGTTCACAGTGAGGCTTCCTGAGACCCACTTGACTTTGAACTCCAGGATGTCTGGCCCTAGGTGAGTTATCACATCATTGTGGTTATCTGGGTCATTATATTGAGTTAGACAAGGCTGTGGTTCATGTAATTAGATGGGTTAGTTTTCTGTGATTGTGGTTTTCAGACTGTCTGCCCTCCATGGAGAAGGATAAGAGGCTTATGGAAGCTTCCTAATGGGACAGACTGGCTGAGGGGGAAACTGGATCTTGTTCTGATGGGCAGGGCCATGCTCAGTAAATCTTTAATACAATTTTCTGTTGATGGGTGGAGCTGTGTTCCCTCCCTGCTATTTGCCTGAGGCCAAACTATGATGGAGTTAATGAAGATAATGGTGACCTCCCTCAAAAGATCCCATGCGTGAACTGCTACACTCAGTGCCCCCAACCCTGCAGCAGGCTACCACTGACCCACACCTCCACCCGAGACTCCCGGACACCCATAGGCAAGTCCGGGACAGTCTCTTGTGGGGTCACTGCTCCTTTCTCCTGGGTCCTGGTGCACAAGGTTCTGTTGTGCCCTCCAAGAGTCTATTTTCCAGGGCTGTGTAAGTTCTGGCAGCGCTATGGTTGGGTTAATGGCGCCCTCCTCCAAGAGGGCTTATGCTATGGCCAAGTCTGCTGCACCCAGAGCCCGTCCCTGCGGCAGACCACCACCGACCGGTACCTCCACAGGAGACTCTCAAACACAGTTCTGTCTCAGTCTCTGTGGGGTCCCTGGGTCCTGGTGCGCGCAAGGTTTGTTTGAGCCCTCTGAGCGTCTCTGGCAGGAATGGGGATTGATTCTAAATGTGAATTTGCCTCTCCTACCATCTCGCTAGGGCTTCTCCTTTGCTCTTGGATGTGGGGTATCTCCTCACAGCCGCTCCAGTGCCTACCGTCTTACTGGGGTTTCTCTGACTTTGGAGGTGGGGTATCTCCACAGGGCTGGTCCAGTAAAGCGCAGCCACCATTCCTGACCTTGGACGTGGGTTATCTCTTCACGGCTGTTTCAGCAGAGCATGGCCGCCACTCCTGACCTTGGACGTGGGTTATCTCCTCTCAGCTGCTCCAGCGCCGCGCAGCCACCTCTCGCCTTGGCTCATTATATATAGTATAGGTATACTCATTATACTCATACAGCTCATTATATGTAGTATATATAGGGTCACTATATATAGTATAACTTTTGTATAGTTCTTCTGTGTATTCTTGCCACCTCTTCTTAATATCTTCTGCTTGTGTTAGGTCCACACTGTTTCTCTCCTTTATTGAGCCCATCTTTGCATTAAATGTTCCCTTGGAATCTCTAATTTTCTTGAAGAGATCTCTAGTCTTTCCCATTCTATTGTTTTCCTCTATTTCTTTGCACTGATCAGTGAGGAAGGCTTTCTTATCTCTCTTTGCTATTCTTTGGAATTCTGCATTCAGATGGGTGCATCTTTCCTTTTCTCCTTTGCCTTTTGCTTCTCTCTTTTCTCAGCTATTTGTAAGGCCTTCTCAGACAACCATTTTGCCTTAAAGCATTTCTTCTTCTTGGGGATGGTTCTGATCACTGCCTCCTGTACAATGTTATGAACCTCTGTCCATAGTTCTTCAGGTGCTCTGTCAATCAGATCTAATCCCTTGATTCTATTTGTCACTTTCACTGTATAATCGTTAAGAGATTTGATTTAGGTCTTACCTAAACTCTTCCAACTTAAGTCTGACTTTTGCAATAAGGAGTTCATGATCTGAGCCACAGGATAGGTAAAGCTAAAATTTCACTAATTCTTTCTTTTGTCAGTGCTAAAATTTGCATCTTTTTAGTTCTCATATTACAACAATTATTACCATAGTCACACAGCTAGGTGCCCTCCAGGAATAAATTATGTCACAGAATAGGAAAGAAGTCAGGAGTTATCTTCTTTTGTATTTTATCACGCATTTAACTCCTTGGAGAGTCCAGAAAATATTTGTTTTGAATGTTTCTAATTTGTTAGTACTTTAAAAATCTGACTTAATCAGGCCTTCAAAATAACCACATAAATTAATGTTGTTGTTTAGTTGCTCAGTCATGTCTGATTCTTTAGCGACCCAAGAACTGTAGCCCACCAGACTCCTCTGTTCACGGGATTTCCCAGGCAAAAATACTGGCATGGGTTGCACTTTTCTCCTTCAGGGGATCTTCCTGACCCAGGGGTCAAACCCGAGTCTTCTTCATTGCAGGCGGATTCTTTACCATTGAGCCACCAGGGAAGCCCTATGTAATAGCTATTACCTAATTCTAAACTGAATCATAACTCCAAAAGACATGTGTTATTAAAACAGATTCCAGGTAATCAGTGATATATCTCCACTCTCATAAAAGTAAACACTAAAAGGAAAAAATAAAGAGAAAAATGGACAAGACAAAGCTTTGTAATTTTATTATTCTAATTTAATTTCCAGGTAAAATGCCCTTCTGTTATACTTCAAGATTTAAAATCTAGCCAATTTTCAAAGTTTATAAAATTATTTTTATTTTAAGAACCAATAATTTGCCAATGAGATTAATGTGTTTATTACTACCTAGAGACTTCAAAGAGTCTTATTTTTGATTTGTAACAAAAACTTCTCTATCCTTCTGGATAATGGCTTGGGATTCCGCATTTTTATATGGCCTAGATTCTACATTTTTATATTATAACAAGAAGATCTTTGATTTGCATATGCTTTGATAGCCATATTAGAACATTTTGCACATCCACTCTCTTCCTGTTCCTTAATTTGGCACTTGTTCTATTTAAAACAATTTTGAAAATGCAAATTACTTTACATTAAAAATATAAATTCTTATGGAATATTTTATACAATCTTAAAGCACTGACTTTTTTTTTTGAATATCCATTTCTTTATTTTTTTTTTAATTTTTATTTATTTATTTATTTTTTCCATTTATTTTTATTAGTTGGAGGCTAATTACTTTACATCATTGCAGTGGTTTTTGTCATACATTGAAATGAATTAGCCATGGAGTTACATGTATTCCCCATCCCGGTTCCCCCTCCCACCTCCCTCTCCACCCGATCCCTCTGGGTCTTCCCAGTGCACTAGGCCCGAGCACTTGTCTCATGCATCCAACCTGGGCTGGTGATCTGTTTCACCCTAGATAATATACATGTTTCGATGCTGTTCTCTTGAAAGATCCCACCCTTGCCTTCTCCCAGAGTCCACAAGTCTGTTCTATACATCTGAGTCTCTTTTTCTGTTTTGCATATAGGGTTATCGTTACCATCTTTCTAAATTCCATATATATGTGTTAGTATACTGTAATGGTCTTTATCTTTCTGGCTTACTTCGCTCTGTATAATGGGCTCCAGTTTCATCCATCTCATTAGAACTGATTCAAATGAATTCTTTTTAATGGCTGAGTAGTATTCTATGGTGTATATGTACCACAGCTTCCTCATCCATTCGTCTGCTGATGGGCATCTAGGTTGCTTCCATGTCCTGGCTATTATAAACAGAAAGCACTGACTTCTAAAGCTATAATTTATTATTACATTTTAATTTATCTGATTTATGTGTGTGCCTGAGTGAATATTCCAATTATTTGCAAACTCAATTAAGCTTTGTCTTGCTAAATTTTTACTTTTTGACAGATTATGCTACACTTGTGTAGAAAACTACATTCCTAGTATATTGTTCATTCATTTGATATATTTGCAAAATGGAAATTCATCCATTTTCCAAAAAGACTGAGATATTTTCAGTCCAGGAGGTATACTGGGAAGTGAGATCTTTCCAAGTTTGTAGTTGAAAAAATGTCAGTTCCCTAAAGTGCTGAATGTTTAGTTATTTTGAATAGACATGGTAAGTCAAACATTTATTCCAGGACATTACAACTTCATCGAGTTTGAATACACTTTCACTCAATAATAATCATATTTTATATATTTTATAGAGATGATTTTATTTAAAGTGTATCTTTATACAACTGATGAAGATAGTTATGTTGCATAGTTTGTTATTTGAACTGAACATGTAGGAAATGTTCTGTCACAGAAATCTTGGAGAATTGCTTTGAAAGGAATGGTACCAGTACTAAATTAATTTACATGCAAATCCCTTTTCATATTGGTTCATGCAGAATGAAGATACAGTTATGAGATTTCATGTATCCTTAACACTTATTTCCTTGACTCTAAAAAGATAAAAAATTGCAAGTTGTGTTCATGTCTGATACTGTATTTAGACCTTAAATTATGTCTTCTCATTTAGTTAAAATTCAAAAGAAGAAAATGGGTGTGTCGTAAGAAAGGACCCTTCCACCAAACTTCCAGTGTAGACTAGGACCGTACAGTCAATGATGGTGTCTAACATTTATTATATGATATATTTCTAAGAGAAGGCAATGCATCACAGCAAAGAACAAAAGCAGCTACATTCTGCTTCAGCCCGAGCAACAGGAATGGGAAAAGTACTCACGTTCCACAAAGTAAGAGCTGGCATCAATCTTCCAAATGATCTGGCCCCGATGAGAGCCATTCACTCCACGGTTCTTATAGTCCAGGAAGTTTTCCGACAAGACCTCATCTATATTCCCAGGAAAGGGAGAAAGCAGAGTAGAGAAACATATTAGCTAACAGAATTTTTAGAAAAAAATAAAAGATTTGCATTTCTTTGATAATGAGTGATGTTGAGCATCTTTTCATGTGTTTGTTAGCCATCTGTATGTCTTCTTTGGAGAAATGTCTGTTTAGATCTTTGGCCCACTTTTTGATTGGGTCATTTATTTTTCTGGCATTGAGCTGCTTGTATATTTTTTGAGATTAATCCTTTGTCTGTTTCTTCATTTGCTATTATTTTCTCCCATTCTGAAGGCTGTCTTTTCACCTTGCTTATAGTTTCCTTTGTTGTACAAAAGCTTTTAAGTTTAATTAGGTCCCATTTGTTTATTTTTGCTTTTATTTCCAATATTCTGGGAGGTGGGTCATAGAGGATCTTGCTGTGATTTATGTCGGAAAGTGTTTTGCCTACGTTCTCCTCTAGGAGTTTTATAGTTTCTGTTCTTACATTTAGATCATAAATTACACGCTAGTCAGAATGGCTGCTATCCAAAAGTCTACAAGCAATAAATGCTGGAGAGGGTGTGGAGGAAAGGGAACCCTCTTACACTGTTGGTGGGAATGCAAACTAGTACAGCCACTATGGAGAACAGTGTGGAGATTCCTTAAAAAACTGGAAATAGAACTGCCATATGACCCAGCAATCCCACTCCTGGGCATACACACTGAGGAAACCAGGTCTGAAAGAGACACGTGCACCCCAATGTTCATCGCAGCACTGTTTATAATAGCCAGGACATGGAAGCAACCTAGATGCCCATCAGCAGATGAATGAATAAGAAAGCTGTGGTACATATACACAATGCAATGTTACTCAGCCATTAAAAAGAATTCATTTGAATCAATTCTAATGAGATGGATGAAACTGGATCCCATTATACAGAGTGAAGTAAGTCAGAAAGATAAACACCAATATAGTATACTAACGCATATATGTGGAATTTAGAAAGATGGTAACGATAACCCTACATGCAAGACAGAAAAAGAGACACAGATGTATAGAACAGACTTTTGTCCACATCAGTGGAAAATACTCAAGTGGGTTGCCATTTCCTACTCCAGGGGATATTTGTGATCCAAGGATCGAACCTGTCCCTCTGATATTGGCAGGCAGATTCTTTGTCACGTCTGGCTGGTTCTTGAATGCTTCAGAAACAGAGAAATCATTGCTTCTCTGGCAGTTCATTTCCCTTTTGAATAGTTCTTACATGTGTAGAATCTCAGTGCAAAAATCTTTCTCCTAATGCTTTCATTAACTGGTCCCTATTTGGGTCTGAGAATGAGGCATAAAGAAAACATCTAAGCACACTTATTATCTGGGGCCCAGTTCCCATGGGCTCCATATTTTATCATCTCTTCTCCAATCTGGATACCCATCATCATCCAATACTTGGGACCCATCCATGAATTTATCCATCCATCTATCCATCCATCCATCCATTCTTCATGCAGTCATGTATTCATCTGTTCATTCAACAGATACTTATTGAGATCCACCCATCTGCCATGCTGGGAAAGTTCAGGGGCCATGGTGTTGAGCAAAACCTTTCTGAACTACAACTTTCAAACAATTGAAGACACAGATTTTATACTGAGTAAAGAAATAAATGCGTTATTACAGCTTGCAACAGGGGAGGGGAAGGAAAAGAACAGAGTGCTCTGACAAGAAGCTACAGGAAGGGAGGGCAACAGGAGGTTGAGGGACAGATGAGGGGTGAGAAAGCACCACCAGGGTAGAGATGGAGGATGGAGTGAGGTCTCCATGTGGTGTCCAAGCCTGGAGCGGGCAGAGTTTGCCCGTGGAAGCACTGAGAGGAGCTGGGGGCGGGGGAGACTGTGCTTTTTCCCTCCTGCCCTTCCTCTGCTTGTCATACTGTAACCCATCAATGTCCTTCTTAAAGCTGGTGTCCAGAGAGCAAGGCAGCATCCTTGGAGAGGACAGATCCATAAAGATGTAACCAACTGCTTCTTCCTTGGTTCCAGACATTATGTTCTCAGCACAAAAACAGTGATATGATTCAAGAGAACAGCCTGTATATTATCTATAGTGAAACAGATCACCAGCCCAGGTTGGATGCATGAGACAAGTGCTCAGGCCTGGTGCACTGGGAAGACCCAGAGGAATCGGGTGGAGAGGGAGGTGGGAGGGGGGATCGGGATGGGGAATACATGTAACTCCATGGTTGATTCATGTCAATGTATGACAAAACCCACTACAATATTGTAAAATAATTAGCATCCAACTAATAAAAAAAAAACAGTGATATGAATTTTACCTTAATCTTTTATAGGGCCCTTGCAGTTTCCACTTTACAAGAAAGTAATCAATGGAGCTAAATGGATCTGAAGCTGTGAGAAATCCATGTTTTGAGACTGCAAATCCATCACAGTGGCTGGGGAAACAACCAGAACTCAGGGGTTTCCGAGAACAGACCCAGAACTTGGATTCTGCAGAGAGGGGCTAGGTCATGGTAGCTATTTTGGCAACTGAGGTTCACTCTGTGCATCTGGCCAGAATAGGGAAACAGGGATGAAGTGAAAAGAGAGCAGAGCTTGTGGCTAAGGGGCCCAGCTCCAAGGACCTGTGTGTCATTTACCAATAGTGTCATTTCTACAGCTGCGGGTTCTCATCTACAAGGGGGCAGGTGATAACTGGGGCCTCGCTGGGGAGGATTACATGAGCCCACCGGTAAACGTGCTTGTGACCTGCTAAGTCGACTGCACATTTTCAGCTGCCTCTTCCTTGGCAAAGACAATCAGGCAGAGCAGCATCGTCTCTGCCTCATTAATAGCAGGAACTGTTTGTATCCCTTGGAAAATCACTTGTTTGCAAAATTTGTCTGTCTTTGTAATCACCGTGTATGCTCAAAGCCCTGTTTGGGTTACTAAGATGATTGCATAATATGTCTTTTACAGTAATTGCCTCATTTCTGCAAAAAAAAAAAAAAAAAAAGGCATAATATTTCCCTAGTTCCCTGGGTCTTCAGTACCTGGATAGAATTTGCCTCATTATGGCAATTCTCCAAGGAGAGGTATTTTCCTGAATTTATCTACTCTGATCACCAGAATAGTCACTTTAATAGTTATGGTCAGGTATCCACATAGAATAACACCTAGAAAGGGAGTGTTCCTTCATGCACTAGGTAAGCATGTATTGAGTATTTGCTCCACTCACCGTGCTACACCCTTGGGATATACTGCTGAACATGACAGAGCCTATGTTCTCAGGAAGTTCCTAATAGATCTGAGGAATTTTTTTTTTTCAAGAACACAGGCAATTTCTTTAGAAGGCTGTGGGTATAAGAATGGGCTAAATATCGAACCACAAGGGAACAAGTGAAAAAAGGATGGGGGTGAGTAGGTGGGAAAATCAGAAAAGGCTGCAGAGAATGGTAATAACACACATTTTAAAGAGAGAAAGACACATTCCATTGTACAGGTTAAACACATATTAAGAGATTGCCAGTTGATCCTGATGAGCATCCCATTCCCTTACAGTAACTGTAACACTTCATAGCAAGTATCACACAAGAGAAAGAAAAGTCTGTATCCTTGCCCAGATCATCTGTGCTGAGTGGTCAGCTCCCTTCCCCAAGGCATGTACTGCCAACTGTTAGAAGTTACTAGTCTTTGCTTGGGAATCCAGGTGTACTGTCAGGATCAGATGCAGGAAAACAGAATCAGACCAGATATTTTATGCAGTAAGGGACTTAATGCAGAGAATTAGGTATTAGAAAGATCGAGGCACAGCCGCAGCAACTGCCTCTCCACCTGCAGTAAAAGTGACCAGCCAGTGGCAAGCTGAGTAGGTTATTGCCACTACTATATGGCTGCTGCTGACACCCAGGAAGCGAGGGAGGGGATGCTAGGGCATTGTGACAGAAAAGCTTAATTTTTCAGAGTCATGCTTGTGGCAGCCACAGACTTAACATCAGGAGGAACCACCCAGCTTACTTCTGCCTTCCCAAAGATGCACAGGTGCATCTGCATGAAGGGAGCAAATTTGCGCCTGGAAAATGGTTGCGCAGGAGCCTGGGGAATGTAACTTTTAGGGACCAGGGTCTACACTAGAGGAAGGCACTGGAGAATAGAAGAGGACTGGGATGGAGGAGGCCACGCCATGCCCTCCACCACCACACTGAGGAATGGCAGCCCCCCTGGTTTCCTACAACCAACCGAGGTGCTTTTTTCTGCATCCTTCGTTGGGGTGCAAGTCTTTGTGGAAGTGTTTACTTGATTACAGGGATATCTACAGCTGCCTTGAGGCAAGTATTTAGACCATTACTAGCTACTTGAGCTTAGGCATTATATTTAATCCCTCTGTGTCCTTGCTTCCTCACTACAAAAGGGGGATAATATTAATTCCAACCTCAAAGTCCGCTGTGAAGAATAAATGAGCTAACAACAGAGGTAATGGTCTAAGAACAGTGTCAGGCATCTAACAAGCAGCTATTTGTATTTATAGTCTGGGCTAAAAATAGAGCCCTTTATGGCAAAGCTCCATGATACTTAATGTGCAAAACCATTAATAATAGTCTGCAACATTAGCTTGTGAGAGTGAAGTTGCTCAGTCATGTCCGACTCTTTGCAACCCCATGAACTGTGTAGCCCACCAGGGTCCTCCGTCCATGGCATTTTCCAGGCAAGAATACTGGAGTGGGTTGCCATTTCCTTCTCCAGGGGATCTTCCCGACCCAGGGATCAAACCTGGGTCCTCCACATTGCAGGCAGACGCTTTACCATCTGAGCCACCAGGGAAGCCTCTGAAACATTAGTTTAGGCTAGTACTATTAAAATTTTTCTCATCATTCATTTTGTACAAAACATATAGAGGTATATTAGGTTTCTCAAAAAAAGACTGCATTTGCTGGTTGATACTTATTTCTTATAGTATGAAGCATCATACCTCCTGCTCCACAATTTATTACAGAAAAAAGACCCTTGCAAGTTATTAAAATTTTGATCAGA